ATATAAAAACAAACAATTCTAACAGAGGCAGCAATGTGTAAAAGCAAGAAGCAGCCGGATGAATGGAATCTCAGCAAAGAATTAAAAAAGCACTTGCTCTTACTCTATCTGCAGCAACAGAAATATGTGCAAAATTATGGTGTAGTACCACATGTACAGAATGAAACTGATTGGTTCGGGGAATCAGCCATTAAAGAAAAAAAGAAATAGACTGAAGACCTCCACTGATGAAAACCTGGTAATTGTGTTTCAAAATTTAAGATTAGAGAGGGTAAGCAAAGCTAAACACTTGACCTAATATCCAGATAAAGAGTATCCAGGAGGAAACTGATGATTGTGATGATAATGACAAAGATGCATCTAAAGTAAGTGAAGCTAATAAAGAAAAAGAAGCTAATATAAAGCAAAATGCTTGAAGAGCTAGCCAGCTGCATATCTAGCCCACATGTATTTAAGTACTATGTTTTGGCTTTACTTTTGCTTAATTTGATGTCATTTGTCACTGTTCAATCTTCAATGCTCAAAAGGATCATAGAAAGTTAGGGTGGTTGAAAGGGACCTTGGGAGCTCATCTAGTCCAACCCCCTGTTCAAAGCAGGGCCATCTGCAACTAGATCATCCTAGCCAAGGCTTTGTACAGCCAGATCTTAAAAACCTCCTAGGATGGGGAGATTCCAGTTTCTCTGGGTAACCTGCTCCAGTGCTTTACTACTCTCCTCACGAGAAAATGTTCCCTAGTATCTAGCCTAAAGTTCACTTCCTGCAACTAGAAACCATTGCTCCTTGTTCTGTCATATGTCACCATTAAGAAGCCTAGCTTCATCCTCTTTGGAACCCCCCCCCTTCAGGTAGTTGAAAGCTGCTATTAAATTCCCACTCAGACTCCTTTTCTCCAGACTAACTAAGCACAGTTCCTTCAGCCTCTTGTCAGAAGTCACGTTCCTCAACCCTCCAACCATTTTCATTGCCCTGAGCTGGACACTCTCCAATTTGTCCATATCCTTTCTGCAGTGGGGGGGACCCAAAACTGCACGCAGTACTCCATATGTGGCCTGACCAGTGCCGAATACAGAGGACTAATCACTTCGCTCAATCTGCTGGCAATGCTCCTATTAATGCAGCCCACTATACCACTAGCCTTCCTCACAACAAAAGCAAACTTATTTGGGAATCTTTTCAAACTTTATTTTCAGAAATAAAGGCTCAAAAACAATCATTTTGGAGTTTTCAATGACGTATTTCAGAAAACATAACTGAATTATTGGTATTGGTGGTAGCAAACAACAAAGTTAGCTTATATTCAGCTTATTATCCACTGTAACCCCAAGGTCCTTTTCTGCGGAGCTGCTGCTTAGTCAGGCATTTCCCAGGCTGTACTGGTGCATGGGATTGTTTTATCCTAAGTGCAGGATTTCCCACTTGTACTTATTGAACCTCATGGGATTCCTTTTGGTCCAATCCTCCTATCTGTCAAGGCCCCTCTAAATCCTACTAGCCATACCCTCCAGTGTACCGACTACTCCCCCCCAACTTGGTGTCATCTGCAAACCTACTGAAATTGCACTCCATCCTATCTTCCAGATAATTCATGAAGATATTGAACAAAGCCTGCCCCAGGACTGACCCCTGGGGCACTCCGCTTGATACCAGCTGACAACCAGAAACTGAGCCACTGATCGCTAGCGTTTGAGCCCAATGATCCAGGCACTTTTTATCCACCTAATACTCCATTCATCCAACCCATACTTTCTTAGCTTGCTTGCAAGAATGTTGTGGGAGACCATATCAAAAGTTTTGCCTAAGTCAAGGTATATTGCATCCACTGCTTTCCATGTACCCACAGAGCCAGTCGTCTCATCACAGAAGGCAATCAGGTTGGTTAAGCATGAGCTGCCCTTGGTGAATCCATGCACACCTCCTAATCACCTTCTCCTCTCAGTGCTTAAAAAAGGATTCCTTGAGGACCAGATCCATGATCTTTCCAGGGCCTGAGGTGCAGCAGACCAATCTGTAGTTCCCCAGATCCTCTTTCTTTCCTTCCTTAAATATGTGCATTATATTTGCCCTTTTCAATTATCTGGAACCTCTCCTGACCACCATGAATATTCAAAGATGATGACCAGTGGCTCTGTAATCACATCAGCCAACCCCTTCAGCACCCTCGGGTGCTTCACATCTGGCCCCATGTACTTGTACATGTCCACAGTTTTTCTAAATAATCCCCAGCCTCTTCTTTCACCACTGTTCACCTCCTCCCCAAACTGTGCTGCCAGGTGCAGTAGTCTGGGAGTTGACCTTTCCTGTGAAGACTGGGTAAAAAAGGGGATTTGAGTACTTCAGCCTTTTCTGCATCATCTGTCACTAGGCTGCCGTCCCCGTTCAGTAAGGGACCTACATTTTCCCTGATCCTCCTCTTTTTGCCGACATACTTATAGAAACCCTTCTTGTTACCCTTCACATCCCTTGCTAGCTGCAGCTCCAATTGCACTTGGCCTTCCTGATTTCATCCCTGTGTGCCTGAGCAATATTCTTATACTTAGGGATCTACGTGAGTCATGCCGAGGCAAAAGAAAAATCACAGGCTTGTTGTGGCATGTGGCACTATGTTCACGGTCTTTTCATAGTATCCCTGGCCCCAGTGATTGACCCAGGAGCCCTGACAACTCTGTCCCCTGATGCTGATTGGACAAGCATGCTCAGCATGAAGCCCAACCCCTTGCTGCAGATTGGAAAGGGGCAGGTCTGCATAATGGGCAGCACTCTCCGCCAATCAACAGAAATGGGTGGAGAGGGGCAGTCACCATCTTTGCTGTTCCTATTCATGCCAGCAGCTTCTTGCAAAGTACCCACCAGGCTGTGAGCCCAAGCCAGGCCACAGCAGCCCTGAGGATTGCTGGTTCCCACTGGGGAGTCAGCATGTTATTTTTAGTATTTTTTTCCTGGCTGTTCCAGGCCAAAATTGTTGGTATTGCCATTTTCAGAGAGTTTGTGGAAAACACTCCTTTCACTGTTTCTGCAAAAAATGAGAAATTGCTTAATAGGGTAGATCCTTATTTGTACTCCTCCCTAAGTCTTTTATGCATGTTTCCATTTCTTGTAAGCTTCCTTTTTGTGTTTTATCTCATTCATACGTTCCTTGCTAAACCAAACTGGTCTTCTGTCATACCTGCTAGTCTTTCAATACATCAGTATGGTTCATTTATGTACTCTCAGTAAGATTTCTTTAAAGCACAACCAACTCCCCTGGACTCCTTTCCCCTCAGACTGGCTTCCAAGGGGATCCTGCCCATCTGTTCACTGAGGGAATCAAAGTCTTCTTTTCTGAAGTCCAAAATCCTTACTCTGTTGTTCTCCTTCCTTCCTTCCTTACCCTCAGGATCCTCAATCCTCTAATGGTTGCTGCTGCCCAAGCTGCCATCCACTTCTACATTCCCCATCTTTTCTTACCTGTTTATGAACAGCAGGTCAAGAAGCAGGTCATGTTAAATATTTAAATTTAAAGGTGAGTAATTTAATGTTCATATGTAAATATTACCTAACCACATTTAAGATATGTATTATTTTTCACTTTTTTCTGTGCTAAAAATAGCTGAGTTAAGTACTTCTGTTTTTTGGACACAAACAAAAGTATCTAACCTGTTGGTGATTATAAAATATATTTTTGTTACTGTTCTTAATCTCTTAATAAATTAATGCTTTAAAGCTATTTTACCATGTTTATATTATTTGACAATACTTGAGACAAAATTATTTTTGACCAAATACCAATAACCCCAATGCATGCTAGTTAAACAACTACTTTAGTATTTACATTTTTTAATTCTACATTTGCCACTGCTGCTCACACAACTCTCTCCTCTTCAATGCTAAAGAGTAGTAGCATGAAGCAGTGCAGACAGTAAAAGATGCATCAAGTACATAATACTAAGTGCTTGGTTTAAAGGTGGGAAGATTGAAGATAGTTCTTTAAAAAGCTACTCATAACTAAGGAATTTTCTGTATATGCTGATGAAAAAGAAGCACCAAATGCTAACCCAAAACATTGTACTGAGGGAGATGAAGCTCAGGTAGATACTACTACCAAAACCAGAATGTCCAGTTCTTCAGGATAATTCAATTTACAGTCAATTGCTGAGGAGGTCATAAAAGCCACATGACACTACCCTTAAAGTGCAAACCCTTCCTGTTAAAAAAGCATGGTAACCACAGTAAATTCTGCCAGCTAGTCTCTGAAGCATCCTCTATATAAGCATGTCTTACAGAACTTCTTTCCAGAAAGCCTCAGGTTCAAATCTGGCAAAGAAATTCTTATTTTAATAAAATGTTTTCATAGTCATAAAACAATAACTACCTAAATAATGATAAGCCACTCCATGTACTTAATGAGACAGCTTTAACATTGCTCAAGTTTCTTAAAGTTCAGTCTGGGGTTTTCAAAATATAATACTACCTTGGGAGAAGCTACTGCTAGAAAAGAAAAGTCCGTAGTGAAGGAATTTGCAAGTTATGAAAGATACTGCAACCCTAGCAAGGATATTTTTATTGTAACATGCACCTATCTTCAGATACAGATGACACAAATTACACAAATCCAGATAATCTGAAAGAAAAGCTGAACTTTCACAGGGGTAGGTCTTGTAACTCTTCTAATACTATATAACACTACTCACATTTTCAGCAAAACATCTCTCATTTTCAAATTCAAGTTTGTTTTCATTATTTTAATAATTTACAAAGACAATTTATTTAAAATTAAACCTTTGAAACAGAACCTTACACTCCATAGAGATACCTTCATGCTATTCTCTCAGGGCATGTGTATATCACAAAGTTACTGCTCCAGGCAGAATATCCATCAAACACACTGCACTGGCCCACCTAGGTTACTTCCTGAAGCAGCCTAAATCTCATTCACAAGGCTTTCTGAGACAGTAAGAAGCACTGTTTCTTAACACATGAAACATTCATTGCAACTATGCAGGCATAAAACAAGTACTCACCTGGTAAGTGTCCCATAGCCTTATGGTACACCGCAGAGGAACTTCTCTCATCAGCAAGTTATTCATCCAACGGAAAGCAAATTGCAAGTATTTCACTTCATGTTGATCCAGGTGCCTGTGTATTTGCTCTGGAAAACAAAACAAATACTTTTGGTGGAAGTTTTTTGCAGTTCTAATTATCAAATCACAATCTAAAAATAACTCAAAAGGAAAAAAAAAACCAATAGTTTGCATACAACCTGTTAAAGTCAAAAGAAAAATACAGAAAAATGGAGGTATACAACTATTTTGGATTTAGTTTGCTGCCCTTAAGCTGGTTAGATAAATGCAGTTATAGTAGTTTAAATACAGAGTAAATGCCATTGATTTACCAAGTACTTTGAACTTTGTACAACATGCAGTAAACAGAAAAGTACAATCATAATAATTTATATTTTACTGTAGGCTCTTTCAAGCAACAGCCATGTCTACTTAAGTTTATAAAATGCACAACAGGACTCATACTGATTGGATAATGAAAAACAAAAAATGAGTAATGAAGAATAGAACAAGGAAACTGAGAAATGTTAAGCACTTCCATTAAATATATGACTGAATATAAAGGATGCACAAATTGTCATAGAGTCATAGAAGTAGGGTCAAAAGGGACCTTGTAGATCTTCTAGTCCGACCCCCTGCCCTAGGCAGGAGAGAAAGCCAGGCTTAAATGACCCCAGCCATGTAGACGTCAAGCCTCCTCTTAAAGTGGTGATGGTTCCCAGGTAGGAGCCATCACCACTTCCCTTGGAAGTTAGTTCCAGATCCTAGCTGCCCTGACTGTGAAGTAGTGCCTTCGGATGTCTAGTCTAAACCTACTCTCTAACAACTTGTGGCCGTTATTCATTGTTTCCCCGGGCAGTGCTCGGGGGAACAAGGTTTCTCCCAAACCCTGCTGGTCCCCCCTAGTGAGTTTATACACATGGCCACCAGGTGGTCCCCCCTCAGCCTTCTCTTGTGAAGGCTGAATAGGTTAAGGTCCTGTAGCCTCTCTTCATAGGGTCTGCCCTGTTCTCCCCGGATCATGTGGGTGGCCTTCCTTTGGACCCTCTCAATGCTGCCCCACATCCCTCCTGAAGTGCAGGTCCCAGAACTGGACACAGTACTCCAACTGTAGCCTGACCAGTGTTGCATAGTGGGGGAGGATCACCTCCTTGGCCCTGTTTGAGATGCATCTGTGGATGCACGACAAAGAATGGTTAGCCCTACTGACCGTGACCTTGCATTGTCGGCCCATGTTCATCTTGGAGTCAATGATGACTCCAAGATCTCGTTCTGCCACTGTGCTCTCGAGGGAGGAGTTTCCCAGCTTATAAGTGTGCTGCTGGTTCCTACTGCCCAAGTGCAGCACCCTGCAGGTGTCTGTATTGAAACCCATCCTATTTTCGTTAGCCCACCCCTGTAACCTGTCCAGGTCCTGCTGTAATCTGTCCTTCCCTACTAGTGTGCCCACCTCATCCCAAATCTTGGTGTTATCAGTGAATCTGAACAGGCTGCTTTTGACCCCATCGTCCAAGTCACTAATCTAATTCTACTTTCACTTAATGCTGAAAAAAAAAGTGAGGAAGTATGCTGAAGAGCAAGCATCCTTTAAAATAAGTGTTAACTATTTGTAAAATAATCAACTCTAAACATAAAAAATAACAGAATATTAATGTATATGCAAGAAAACAAAAGACTCAAATGCGCTACAATGAACATGCTTCCATAATTTTGCAACCCAGCTGACTTCACATTTCTCAGCTGAAAAAATAAAAACAAAGCCAAGAAATAGTTTGGGGTTAGTCAATTTTAAGAACAGATAACACATTAATACACTGCATTTCCAACTGTATAATATAGTTAAGGAAAGTAACTATGTGCCTAAATTGGAATATTTATTATTTGGAGACTGGGGCAATTATGCACGTGGCTTTTCTCTCTGTTCGAATATAACAGACAAATTAAATGTGGCTTGTGTTTATTAAACATGGCTTGCTATTGTACCTCTACATAAAAAGGGTAACAAAGACTCACTTGCTTCAGAAGGCTAAGTCTAAACTAAAGTTGTGCTTGATTAACCTTTTGCTGGACAAGTTACAAATGCAGTGTTGCCAACTCTCATGATTTTTGGAATTGTTCTTAAAGTCTATGCTTTGGGAATATGAAAAACTTAGCTTTCTTTTAGATAGATAGATAGGTATCAAAATATATCTATATAGATACATATATATATAGATATATATATAGATATACACACACGGCAGAGTGCTGCCATGGTGGCATGGATGGAGTGGGGGGGCGAGGCCAGCTCCAACCCCACCATCACGGCGGCACTCCACCACCTCCAAGAAGCAGGGCCGGGAAAGAGGTGAAGCCAGCGGTGCTGGAGGTGGTGGTGGTGGTGCAGGGTTCTGGTGGAGGGGAATAGAGGGCATGGTAAGGCAAGCTTCCCCCTCCCCCGGAGGTGGCAGTGGCATCAGGTTGTGGGTGATGACACTCCATCCCTGCCCCCCGTCATTCTTACAATGCCAAAAATTATGGGAGTTGGCAATACTGCAAATATTACATTAAACATTTTAGTTATACAGCAGTGGTCATATTCAACCAGTGGAATCTTAATAAATGTTTTTAAGTATACTCTAAGAAAACTAATTACTAAATTCTAAATTAGATAGTCCTTTGGATCAATAAGTGATCTTGGATCTTGCCACCCAATTCTCTAGTCCATATTCATGGGAGTGGTATTAAAAGCTAATTCATAGAGAGGTAGATACATATCTTCCCTTTTAAACTTATTTCACACTTTTCAGACATAACCAGAAGAGACACTGAAAAATGGTGATAGGAGAAAGCCAAATGGTTATAGCAAATAAAATAGAATTTACCCAATTAAGTAAAGGCTTTGGGACAATATCTGAAATCTCCAAATCCTTTAAAGCAAGGGTGTCAAGTTACTGGTGGCCCATGGGAAGATGTGGCTGGGGCAGTGGCCTGTTGCAGGATCTAGAATCCTTGGGTCCCAGTGAACATGGCAATTGGTGCCAGGAGGACAAGGGCAGGCTGATACAGCCCCAGTTGTCTGGATGCTGCTTTGTTTGATGCCACTGGCATAACCCTACCTGCTCAGCTGCTGGTTCCACTGCTGCCCCATTCTGGAGCTGCTGCTACCACCATGCACCTCATGCTAGAGGTACAAGTGTGGCCATGCTACAGAGCATGTGACATAATTAGCAGCTCCAGCATGGTATGCTCTAATGCTGCCACCACTGCATGCCCTACCTCAGAGCAAGAGCTGCCCCTGCCACATCAGCTACATGCTTCAGGCTGGAACTATCACATGCCTTAGGCAAGAAGACCCCTCCTTTGAAGGAATCTATTAACTAGCTCAGGGGCTTTCAACCTTTTTTGGTTGGTGTACCCCCAGCGGTGGGGGCAGCGGATCAAAACTGGAAATGCGGGTGGCAAAACTGGAAGCACCCCTGCTTCTCCACGCCACTGCTGCGTACCCTCTGGGGCCTTCCCAAGTACCCCCAGGGGTATGCATACCCCTGGCTGACAACCCTTGAACTAGCTGAACACAGCTTACTTCACATAACAGCACTTACCTTCTAACTCCCAAGGTTCAGTACAATGAAGACAAGATGTCTACACACATACAACCAGAAATTTTATTCTTCTGAACATACAGTTTGCGCACACTCAGCAAAGACTAACTAGAGCTTAAAAGCTAAAAATCAAACTATTCCATATTCACTGAGCATGCTCAAACCCCTGAAAGGTCCTACACATACGTAGATAATGAACATGCCCTTATGCCATTCCCACAGATAGGTTGAGGATAATTCAGACCAGGATCACAGGACTGAAGCTGGATCTTCCCTGTAATGACTTGTGCTGCTTTCTATTTAGAAGCTCTAGTCCCTCATGAAGTAAGCCACTGGTTACAAAAGTTTATATTCAATTTAGTTAGTCTATGAGGTGCAACTCTACCCTGCCTTCTGCCTTGTTTTCACTGAGGCAGGGCTGGAAACGGGAACTAAGAGCAGGAAGCCTCTCTCTCCTGTTTGCTTAACAATCCCTGGTATAACCTCTCACAGGTTATCTTGGAACCAGAAAAAAAAAATCATATATTAAAAGTTAAACACCTACTATAACATGTTTATTTGATCACAAAAAAAAATGGTCATGATTTGTGTTTGCGTAGTATATATAAAGGTGATTGCATAATAGCTCAAAAATAAAGTCTCAGTCTTGTATATTGTGTGGGGTGTGGTTGGTGTTTATGGTGGGGTGGGAGCTTTGTGAGATCGTATGGCTGTGTGTGGGGAGTGTAGGGTATGTTGTGGAGGTGTGTATATATGTGGGGGAATTTTGGGGGGCCAGGGTGTAGGTATGGGGTTTGTGGGGTGTAAGGGAAGGTGGGGTGGTGTTCTGACACCCCCCCACACACTCCTCCCCATCATGCATAGCCCCTGCTGCTAGCAGCAGCAGGCAGTAGGCCCTTGGGGTGCTCATAGCTCAAGCAGGTACTACCACCCAGCGGCATGTGGCTCCAGCCAGTTCTGGGAGCTACACAGAGCAGTAAGGAACGGGGCCAGGCCAACCAGCAGGGCTTCCCGCAGCCCATGTGCAGCTCCCAGCATTCGTGTGCCACTGAGGGGAAGCCCCACATGATAGAGCCAGCTGCCTTTCCTGCTCGTTCCCTGTAGAACGAGATTTAGTTAAAGCACCCCTGCCACCATTTTGAAGTGTGGGATACTGAATACACATGATGCTGCAGGCACTTTAAGTAGAGTGGCTCTAAGAGCCACTTGGATTAATCCGCCACCCCCTCCACCCCAGAGGATGCGTATAGGCGCCCTTAAACACTGAAATAAAAATCAAGAAAAGAATGGAGATTTAAGATGTGGTGCACAGATATAGTTCCATTAAAAATAAATTAATAAAATGTGCATTTAGAATACTTTAATGAAAAACTAATTTTTAACTCCTGAAGCATTTTAAAATTGATGATGCACTTAAAAAATATGGAAGAAACAGGTTTCAGTTTGTTAAGGTATCATAATAGCCATTTACTTTTGAGACCACCTTTACATGGTTTTATTTCAAT